ATCTCGAGGAGAGCTGCACAAGACTTGATTGGAATCAAACTTGGGGCCACCTAGTCCATTTTCGCACAAATTGGGTGTGCTGATTGTCTCCCTCCATAATGGGAGTTGTACTCATAAAAACAAGGTGATTAAGGTGTCATTGGATAGCCTTTGAAGTCTAGTTTTGTTATTGAGTGGTTTCTGAGCGAGAAGAGAGAGCCTTACAGACGAAAATCGAGCTGGAGTGAACTGCTGTGTGTAAACTCGAGCAGTGAGAGTGTTGATACTGTTTCGTTGATATCTCTATTTATACTAATCCAAATAAGGCGTGAAAGATACCAATAGAAATCTCTCAAGACGAGGAATCCGTGAAGGTCTGGTTTGCATCAATCGGAGTAGTGGAAGGCTTCCAAATCGTCCAAGCAAAACACAACCTCGCAGAAATGGGTCTACTCTTCTAAAGTGAGTTTTAACCCCAAAACCTCCCCTTTCATTTTCCAAATGGTATGAACGATTGGTGGAACTATTATACACTACTCCAAGTGTATAATATGTCCTTATAAAGTTATTTTATTGATGTAAAGGTTAGATACTAACCTAGAGCAAATCTTGGAAATACTAGGAAACGAGTTCGCCGGAAAACACCCATTCTAGGGGCTGTTTTCGTATCGACGTTTAGGGGTTGAGATAGCACTTTGAGGAGGCTATTTAACACTCATATTTAACCAAGGAATCATATCTTAATCCACCTTGACCGAAGCTTTGACCTTTGGATCAAGAAGGAAAAGTTTAAAGCTCAATTAAGGAGAGGACCGAAATCTAGTTGCTTACAACTTGTAGATTATGCACGAGATTACCTAAATGCTTAAATCATGTTTTTGTGAATAAAGATGCTTGAACATGATATGAATGATAAGTAATGAACCTGATCATGAATTGAAAACATATTGATGAATATGGAGTCATATGAGGTAGAAATATGCCAATATGATAAATAGACTTTTCTAACTCTTGTATGAATGTTATGTGTATGTAAATGTATAGTTACATGATGATGCTTGGAACATGGGAGGCTGCCACATATCTATTGATATGGAGGGGCTACCATTAAGAATAAATGAGTTGTAGGAATAATCTTAATAGTATTGTGATGCTAGTTAAGGATTGTTCGAAATGTCGATAGAATTAAACTTAAAGGCTTGGGTTTGGTTGTGATGAACTTGAATAAGATTCAAGTGTCAATGGTGATTTCATGGAGTAGGAGATCTATGGTGTGATTGTATGAAGTAGGAGATCTATGGGGTGAATACATGAAGTAGGAGATCTATGATATGATTGTATGAAGTAGGAGATTTATGATGCGAGTGCATGATGATGCACTCGAGCTGAACTCTAGAAATGAGAAGTTATATTAGGGTTGGACCCTATGTATTGTCGTGACCATTAGTCACGGGGTTTGGGAAATGTCTTGTAATAAACATGGGCCTTTGAGCGGACTACTTGACTTTATATACAGTATGTATATATTTTGAAAGGGGTAACTTGAGATTACAGCCCAGACTATATTATCACCCTATTTGAGGGTCTTATGTGTGAAATACTTGTTGTATATCTATTAGATGTCTGCCACACCAGTACTTTATCGCCGTATAGAGTATTGATCCCTTCGGGGGCGTCCCACCACCATTCCAGGTTGAGGCTCGAGCTTGCTACATGTGCCCGTTGCTTGGGTGATCCTTTGGAGAGAAGACGTGGTTCGTGCTTTCTCCATTCTGTTTTGAACAATATTAAACATGCTCATGGATATTTTACTACAGAGCCTGCGTGCTCGTGAATAGCCCTGTGTGGCCATTTTATTTCAAACAATGTTTCCGCTGCATTATGAATTACTTATTATGGTTGTTTATGGATGTTATATGTGTTAATGATATTCAAGACGCTTTGTATGATATGAATGTGTTTGACTTTGGTTGATTATTCGTATTGTACGGCTGGTTGTTGACGTGTCCGGATAGGTCCGGGGTGTGACAATTTAATTGGTATCAGAGCCTTAGTCCATAAACTTCATAATGAAGTCTCAAAATTCTCTTTTCAAAATGATTTTGAAAACCAGGAGCATAAATGTTTTGTACTTGTAGAACTTTTGGTACTTGAGTTGCAAGGTCTCTAATTGTTAAGATGGTACCCTTAGCAATTGGTATGGCAGCAATTTGAACCAAATAGTGTCTTAAGTACCGATCTGTCAATTGACATTTAATACGAGTCTAACGACTCTTTCCAAATTTCTTTCAGAAATGGACCGTGGTGGCAACGTTACTAGGAGAAACCCGACGGGCCGTGCACCGGTGGAGACTGGGCAGGGCAGTCGTAGGATCTCTAGGGCATCTAGAGGAGCGGGCCGTGGGGGCCGATCACAGACCGTGAGCGACGGTCATGTGAGCACCGAGAGTGAGAACTACTGGTCCTACGAGGACTCGACCTATCAACCGGAAACTGAGCCAGTTGAGACCTCTTATGAAGGGGATGATGATGATGTAAGTGATGAGGAGGAGGAAAATGGCTCTTTAGCACGAATTGAAGCACTACTCCAACAGTACCACCGTGAGCGTGAGGAGAGGAGGGAACGCCGAAGGCGCCGAGCTGGGCAACCTTCGGGCGGGGCTTCAAGAGGAAGAAGCCATGGCGACTCTAGGGCCCACATTGAACCACATAGGGGCCGAGGTGATGGAGGTCCAATCATAAGGATCTCCAAATACATCAAAGAGGCACGAGACTTGGGGTGCAAACCGATTGATGGAACGGGGGACATCTCGGTTGCCTCACAATGGATCAAGAGGCTGAATGAGGAAGCCCTTGACATGCAACTCACACCCGATTTCAAACTAAGAATTGCAGTGAGACTACTTGAAGGGTTGGCATCCAGGTGGTGGGATGGGACCAAAGGCAAGTATGGTGAAGCCGTCGTTTGGGAGGACTTCCGACGGGAGTTCTTTGCCCAATATTATTCTGAGTTCGAGGTAAACGCGAAGGTGAGGGAATATACTCTCCTAATCCAAGGCGGTAACATGACAGTGAAACAACTTGAACAAAAATTCAGGGATCTTGCCGATCACATACCGGAGTATGCTTGTGACGAGAATCGAATGGTGAACCACTTTTGGTCAACCCAATTGCCAAATATGACTTTCAGTCAAGTGGTTAATCAAGGCTTGAAAGGGGAGAAACAGTGGGAGGAGAGGAAAAAGAGAGACGCCGAAGAGGCGAAGAAGAGAAAGTGGGAGAACCACGGGCTACAGGGTCCTAACAAGAAAAGGAACCATGGAGGAGGGGGATCGTTTCGTGCACCCCCACCGCCATCCGGGGGAGGTCAAGGCTCAAGCAGGCATGACTCGGGGTCACAAGCCTTGGGAATGCCTCGCTGCTTGAATTGCAAGAAGAGTCACCTCGGAAAATGCCGTGAACCTCCTAGATGCTTCCAATGCGGGAACACCAGGCACTTGAAGATGAGTTGCCTCCAATTGGGTGGGGCAAGGACATCGGGACCAAGTAGCGGGGCTACGGGAACAAGAAACCAAGCCGGGGGTTCCCAATCAACTAGGGGACATGGGGGAGCAAGTACGAGCAACGCGCCCTTGGTGAATCAAGGAAGGACTCAAGCAAGAGTCTATGCGATGATGGAGGCGGATGCTCAAGCTAACCCGGATTCGGTTGCAGGTATTACCTCTTGAATACTTGTATTTTGTCCATGTTTAGTCCATAAATTGGTGATGTAATATAGGGATTGGGTGTGGGCCATCCCAGGGTCAAACCGGGGGAATTCGGGCCGAAACTGGCCGTACCAGCTGGAATTTATGATATGGGATGAAAATAGTTTATCAATAGCTTAATATCAATACACAAGATCTATAGTAGTATTTCTCAATGACTTCATGCAGAGATCTATAATATTGGTAGTATTTCTCTGTAATTCTATCTTTAATGGTCAAAGCATAATTATGGTTTAAAATCTTAGCCCATGACTTCTTATTTTAACTTATATTTTCAATTAATTGATTCACTATCAACTTTTTTCTTACTTCTCATATAATTCATCTAAATTCCTACGTAATTACTTCAGTCCCGTGCAACGCACGTGTGGAGTAACTAGTACGATAAATTGTTCATCATTTTTAATCTATCTCATAAAAGTAGTACCTCATGTGTGTACACACGCACGCACACACAGTTTTGTATGATTCAATATTTATCAAATATATAGTATTTTTGCATTCTTATAAAATATATAAATTCAATCAATTATAATAAAATATACTACCTTCGTTCTCTTTTAAATGTAACATTGAACTTTTTGCACTATTCACATGTTTTACTTTGACTCTATTTTATTTATTAATTTATTATAAATTTAGTTTTAAAAAAATATTGTTAAATTCCTCTCATTTTTTAATTTTCAAAATCTAAATTTTCTAATTTTTTTACTAATAAGGAATTTAAGGTATTAATGGTCAAACTTGTGCGTTGATAATCGTGAAAAGTAGTCCATTGCAATTGAAAAAGAACGGAAGAAGTACTTATTATTTTTAAGTTGACGTATGTTCATGCATCGCACAAGTAAAAATCAATCAATCTGAAAAATCTGTCTTATATAGTTTGATTGGGAGATTTTAGACCATCAATTTGACTTAATGAATTTTGACGGATAAAATGTTCTCAATAATCTAAGAGAATGGAACACGACCAAAATTGATCGAGTCCTTTTTGTCTTGTCAAGGAAAAAATTTAGATGTGTATAACAGTATAACCCCAAGTAATAAAATTGTTGATCCAAATAATTACAGTGTCCCGGATACAAAGGAAAGCCAATGGCTTATGTTTATGTGCGTGCGTAGCCATTGTTTTTTTTTTCAAATCAATGGATGTTTACTAGGTCAAAACACACATATGTTTGGTTCTCAATGTTTTGTGCCCTGCATGAAGGATAATAAATACCTTTAGTATCATTGGCTTAAGACTAGCTAATTTTTTTTTTCAAGTATATTACTCATTTCCATCTTTCTTCTTCAGAAGCAAAGTGAAATTTTATAAAGTCCAACATTAAAAGAATATCAAGAGAAAAAAACTAATTTTGGCAAAAACAATTTACAAGGATGACGATGGAAGTGGTGGTGGATGCAGTGGCACCCCAGCCAGCAACAACTGAATCCCAGAAGAAGAATAGGATTCAAGTGTCCAACACAAAGAAACCCCTCTTCTTCTATGTCAATCTTGCTAAGGTTACTTTTTCTTATACTCAATTTTTCCTTGAAATATTTCAATTTCGTCGTGAGATATCAATTGTATCATGAGTGCCCACTTATCAGTCAAGTCTGAAAAATAGGAATGATTTGTTTTGATAAGCTTGTGAGTTGTGATGAATGTTTTGATTGTAGACGTTTTACTATGTCTAAACCTAGAGTAAATATATACTTTCATTTATTTTACAATATCCCTTTCTTTTGAAGACCATCGGTCCGACTCCACAATTTGGGAGGGATTTTATCAGAATCGTGCACAAAAACGCTTTGGCTCCATCTTTGGGATTGGTTGTCTCAACGTCAAAGTTAGAACATTTTTTAATAGACGAATGACAATAATAAAAATCATGACCGAAACTATCTAAATAGGTTGACCGGTTCACCCCATGGTCTGGGGTTGATACTGTCTCTCATCTGTACTTGAAGTGAGTGTCCATGAGTCCATCACATTATTTGGTGAAAGCTTGCAAGTTAACTCAAATATCATTTAGTTGTAGTATCCATTGTGTTTGAAGTTATTGCCCCTTGCAAGTTAATGGTACATTCCCTTGTCTTCATTTATGTCTTTGTGACATTACACTATTACCTACTTTCTATGACATCCCCTCATCTTCATTTATGTTCATGTGATACGGAGTATTACATTGTCAAATAATTAAGGAAGCACTCCACAAGCTAAGGTTATATAACAAAAGCTCATATGGTCAACTTAGCTTATAGCATATCAAATACTCTGTACATTATACTACGTATAACAAATTAAATATTCCGAGTTCGGATCCAAGATTTATTGGATTAGATGGAGTCTTGGATGTTGAGTGGTACTTGCAACTCAAATTATAAAATATGATAAAGTTAGATTCATTAGTTCAATATATTCCTAACTATCATCAAATTCACAAATACACACAACACACACACATTACTTTTTTTTAATAAAACTGAACTTAGAAGTAATGTTTGAAACGGATGGATATGCTAAATTATGATAATTTTGATTTATGCTCTCATAAAAAATCAGATAAATTAAATTAAATAACTACAAATATTATGGAGTATTTAATTAGACAAAAGTACTTATAGATGAAAGTATTAATATTGATATAAATTTTTAATTTTGAAAAATCATGATGGTAAGGTTTAAATGTTAAAAAAGGATTATGTTTTGATTTTTTATAAAAGATAAAGAATGAGACATATTTGTGATGAAATTGATGATACTTGGAGATATATTAAGCTAATAGTATTAAAAACGCAAACGGTGAGAAAAGTATAGTTCTTGGAGAAAAAAACTTATTCATATCGTATACCTTAATCTTTTGATTATAAAAATTAGTACAACTTTTCCACCTTTCAAGATTTTTGTCTTACTCTTTATTCTGTCCATTTAACAAATATGTGGTGCATTATTTGGTTCTTACCAAGGTTATCCTTGAAATTTCACATTAGTTGTATAATAACTCCCCTTTCGGACTATTAGATGTTACTTGACTCATCTATTTGGATATTGGCCCGCCCTAAAACACACAATTTAGCTTTGACGTTGCACCATATGGTGCACATACTAATACTATAAGAGTACCAAAAACAACACCTCTTCTCACTTTTGGACTAATATGAAACGGAGGGGTAAAAAGCTTTATACCCTAACATGTGAACTGAAAACTGGAACTACCTGCCTGCCTTACTAGACAAGATCTATCGAAAAAGCCTTTCCAAAGGAAGTCTATTAGTAGGATGCCCCGAACCCGATACCATGCTATGTTGAGATTTAACTAATGATTCAGTTGGTTTGCAAAACTTATATGTAATTCTTCATATTTGTGATTTGGACAAAGTCAATTAACTAGAAATACAAGGACTAACACATACATGTGTTTCATAATTGGTTGCAGAGGTACATTCAGCAGCATAATGAGGTTGAACTGTCTGCCCTAGGGATGGGTAAAGCTCATCATTGAATCCTTTTCCATTAACATATACAGTATCATTTTCTATATATTTCCTTCCATTTCGTCTTGTGCAAATAATGCAATACCCTGTTTTTACTCATAACAATCCCTTGGAATAAACAATTGTAGCAATCACCACAGTTGTTACAGTGGCTGAAATTCTGAAGAACAATGGATTTGCAACTGAGAAAAGTAAGCACTTTCTTTTACTTATCAATTTCCCTCATAGCTCACGATTAGAGATGGACTAAAAAAAATATTACATGTTGCGGGGATGAAAAATGAAAAAAAATGTCAGGACCTAAATTAAAATATATTTACAGGGACTAAAAATGTATTTAAATATTATAATGCATATGTAAAAAATCATATTTCATTTTTTATGGAAAAACCAAACACAAGAAAGTAATTTCCCATTTTTAGTTATATAGATAATAGATCTATCTTATAGTCTAAATAATATAAATAAATTAACAAACTTAGTTTTGAGCAAATATCTCTCCCTAGTATTTTCCGGGTTCCAAAATAACCCTTAACTAAAAAAATATCACTGCTTCGAGGTCTATGAACGTTACTGATCATTGCCACACAAAATATGGTGTAGAGGTTTTAACATCCACTGTTGGAATGAAAGATGAAGCAAAAGGCCGCATGGTTCAAAAGGCCAGGGTAAAAATCCATAAACTTCTTGTACGAAGTAATATTTTTGTAAAGACTTTATATTACTCAGTATTAATTAACAAGGCCTAACATCGTTGACTACTTAGATTGAAATCGTGCTGGAAAAAACTGAAAAATTCGACAAGTTAATGGCACCGAATAATGCAGCAGCGGAGGAAGTGCCGAACAAGGATGAGAATATCAAGGTGGAGGAAAACAAGCCGTAGTAGCATTCGGTGTCACTTCAAAACTCATGCTTACTGTATCTCAGTCTGGATATGAGGATATATTATACTAATTCTGCTATTATACATTTTGTTTGCTACAACTGATGAAGATCTATAGAATGCAAATCCACATTGTTAAGGTTGTAGGTTTGCCCTTTTCAGTTTTTGTATCATTTTTGCAGTTTCGTTTTTGGACTTGTATCTTTCCAAGATGCAGCACATATATGATATTGTGTTCGTTTTTGAGTAAAGTAGATGTTCTTGTATTCATTAGTCATTACTGTCGAACTTTCCCCTCCAGCCCCCTCTGTTTTAACTCCCCAAAAATTTTATTCGGATTTGACTTGGCACTTTGTATGGTTGTAGATAATGCAAAAAAAAAAGAGAGAAGCATCAAAACACGTAAATCTTTCCTTAGAATATTTGGAACATCCCTAAACGGAAAATTGAAAGAATATTATGGGACGGAGTGAATATTTTTTTTATTTTTCATATATGCAGTTTTCACTTTCAGGTAATATTTTAGTAACATTATTTGATAATTTAAAGGTTTCCTACACAAACAAGAGATCCAAACCATTTTTTTGTCTTCTCTCAATATCTAAAACAAATGACTACTGGAAATGAAGTTCTCCCTAATAAATATTTCAAAAGTAAAATTGCAACGCACTATTGGAAACCATTATGGTGGAAGCTTACTCAAAAGTTATTGACTTGCATATAAGTGGCCCCCCAACAATGAGGAAATATTTCAAATATTGAATTTTCAAGCAATCTGAGGGAAGACCCACTACTATAGTGACACAGGGAAAAGCAAACAACTAAAACAAGGAAGAAGCAAAACACAAACCGGCACATTTACTCACACGCTACGTGTTCTAAAATCTTCGACATGTTGGTTCCTGTGAGGCTATGAGAAAGTAGATGAGTTTGTACACACTCACAAAGTTCATTTCTCAAAATGCTTGTTACCATCCTTGTATCAGCAAAGTCAACTTGTGGCCTTTCATACATGTGGATCTGCAATGACACGAGAAAAAGAACTTCAATTGACAGATAGACAAGTTTGTGGCAGTCTTGTTCTAAATGAAATGATCGATGGTGTGGAAATATGATAGGGCTTCAATAAAATATGAGCTATGCTATACAAATGTTTAGGCTCTTAAGTAGCATTACATATAGATGGGCTACAATCTATTTCATTGGATACCTTGCAAAGTGATGAGACTGTTATGTCACCAAAAGACAATGAATTCCATTAGGGCCATTAGGGGAAAAATATATGGACTGAAAATTACATCATCATCATCATTACCCCAATGCCACAAAGGCTCCCACCTACGGTGGGGTAGGGGGGTCGAATGTACGCATTCTTACCCCTACACCAAAGCACAGAGAGACGGTTTCCGGATGACCCATAGTGAAAAACGCATCGAAAATTCAATGGACCGACTGTTGCTTCATAACAAAGAAGCGCATACAATTTAGTGAACCATTTTGCTTTATTCTATCATATTCCCAAGACAAAAAATAGCAAGTCTTTGGACTGAAAATTATAATATACCCTTAAAACATTGCAGGCAAAGACTTCAGCTTTTACACGTCACTAGATTTAAAGAACACACTCCGCATCATTTTAAATGGTTGAATGGTAGTAGAATTCTTTATAAGGATATGTAGCTTATATATACAAAAAGAATATTAATTTATTTGGCTGTGGAATTATCCAATCCATAATAAGAAAAAGTACATGAAGGTTGCACATTTAATGTGCAAGTTGATTTTACATCAGTTTTGGAGAGTGACGTGACCATAACAACTATCACAATTCATTTTCAGCTTATGATATTTTCTATGTGCATTTAATGATGGTAGTTTTGGAATTCCATCTCATTATTACTTCTATAAGAGGTTGCAACATGAAGCATAAAATTCAATGGTATGCTTTTGTATGAGTTTTAGTGTTAAAATAAATTGGCACACTAATTTTCATGTCACGGTCCCAAACGTAGTTGGGGTCAAAGTGTAGGTGATGGTGGTGATTATAGTTCTTATATGATTGGGGTAAACAAGGCCCTAAGTACAATGCAAAATAACAAGCTAATAAAAAACTAGAATAGAGAATGATTATGATTAATTTAAATACCCCTCTATAATAACACTCATCTTACACACTTTTATAAAACGTACAGACAACTATAACTATTGACAGTAAAACTACAGCTTGCTAAGTAAACCATACCATACTTTGGCAATACAAGTGTACAACATCATCCAAGCCTTACTCCCAAAAGATTTTGGGGTCAGCTGACAGTAAATAGAAATTTTACAAATAAATCACAACTTGTACTGTATGTTATGCGCGTATAATATCGGAAACTCGGAAAGTATTGGATTTCCAGTGAAAATAAGTCACTTTCCACTTATTTGGTTTCCTTCACAAAAACACGTGTTGAGCTTGTGTGAGAAGTGGTCAAAGTTAGATTAAATTCTCCTTGTTATTCTTATTATCTATTTTACTTTCCATGGAAAGTAAATGACACTTTCCATCATTTGCAATGGAGCCAAAGATTCACTATTTTTTGGCTTGGGAATATGATAGAATAAAGCAAAATGGCTCACTAAACTGTATGCGCTTCTTTGTTATGAAGTAGCGGTCAGTCCATGCAATTTTTGACGCACTTTTCACCATGGGTAATCCGGGAACAGTCTCTCTATGCTTTAGTACAGGGGTACATCTGACCCCCCCTTACCCCACTGTAGGTGGGGAGTCTTTGCGGCACTGGGGTAATGATGATGATGGGAAGTAAATGACAAAGGAAAATGTAGAAAAGTGGACTCTCAAGGACAGTCAATTGCATTCCACATTTCCACTATGGCCACTTTCCAAGGATATGCATAGAAGTGTTCAAAAAGCCCTTATGCCGGCTTTGGACCAGAACGCAAAAAGATCATTGCTTCCGGAGGCAGGCTAGACCTAACTAAAAACCAAGCCAGGCCGGGCCAAGCTTGTCTATCAAAAAGAGAGTGTAATAAGAAGTATAAACTATACAAATATTAGACAGACAAGCCTAAGAGAGTGTTTTTCTTTGCTTAAAAAGGGTACTTTTCAGCTTTTAGCTTAAAAGTGGTGTTTTAAACAGGTGCTTCTGCTTAAATTAATCACTTTAAAACTAAAAGCTGTAATTTTTTACTTCATCTATTACACACAAAAAGTAGTTCTTTACCAACACTCTAACTTTGTATTATCAAAACCGTTTTTCTTTTTAAACATTGCCAACTTTTTCTATTAATTGTTTTTCAAATAATCTTTAAAATAAATAACTTTTCAAAAGTAGAAGCAAACGAAACACTCTATAAATAGCCTCCATTATCAAACCAAACTTTATTTACAAATCAATTAGAGGAAGAAAAATAAGCATGAGTAAACTGTAAAGTTCATAAATAAATAAATAAATAAATAAATAAATAAGAGTAATATCTACAATAAAAATACTAGAGAAAGAAAAGAATAAAGTACAAGCCACAAATAAAAAATAAATAAAAATGTTATAGTCGCAAAGAGAAGCAGAAACAAACTCGATATTTGATATGAAGCAGAATCTGGGTTTACTGAAGGCGGGGACGGCCTTGAGCCCACCTTCGTCGGCTGGTTGCGGGCTGCTTAGTTAATATTTATTCTTTTTAATTTTCCTGATTTGTTTCCTATTTGGAGTTAATTAGGATTTCTAATATTTGTTTTCTATTAGGAGTTAATTAGGATTTCTATTATTTGCTCCCTATTTGAAGTTGATTAGGATCTTTATTACTCCCTCCGTCCCAATTTGTAAGATACATTACGGTTTACGATGTTTGACTGACGATAAAGCAAATTGATCCCTGTCAACACTCAAATTAGTTCTAGAAAATAAAATTTACATATTCAGAAACTACATTAAAACCGCTACAAAGCCTGCAAAAAATAATTCAAATTTCATAAACTTTTGATATATAAAATAAAATATTAAGAGTGGTTTATGTTGACCAAGTGAATAGTAAATGTATCTTACAATTTGGGACTGAGAGAGTATTATGTTTCCTAGTTGGAGTTGATTAGGATTTCTAGGATTTTGTTCCTAGTTTGAGAATTAGTAGATTGGTATTTAAACCCCATGTTGGGATTCATTCTTGCTCATCTTGGAATAAAATTGGTTTTAGCCTTTTGGCTCTGGGCAACGGTATTTTTGTCGTTGATTATCTGGCAACGGTTTACCCCGTTGATTTTAATTTTTCTGTTCTCACAATTGGTCCGACCTGCCAGATCCCATTCCCGCCGGAATGACGAGATCAACGTTCGGCAGCAGGAGAATTTATCGGCGGTGGCTTCACTCGACGTGGCAGCAACATCCACGTTAGGAATCGGACTGTGCAACACTTCTCTCACGAAGCTACCCTCGTTTGACGGAGAAGACCCGATCGGCTGGGTTGCTAGGGCTGAGCATCAGTTTGAACTGAACTGTACTCCACCGGGAAAGAAGGTGGCAGCCACTGTAGTTGCGATGGAAGGATCAGCCCTATACCGGTTGGCCTGGATACGGGCACGAAAGCGGGGCATGTCATGGGATGAGCTTACACAGGCGTTGATGGGTCGTTGTGACTCTCGATTTAAGGGCAATCGCTTAAGTCAAGCAGACAAGGACTGTGGAGGAGTACATCTCAAATTTTGTTCAACTAACAAGTAAGGTCCCAAGGCTATTTGACGATCATTGTTTGGGGTATTTCATGAACGGGCTGAAAGGATTGAGTGGCAGTTATCCCAAAGATACTGGGCAGCCCCGGGAACAAATGTCAGCCGGTTTCCGGATTTCAACCTTGAGTACAAGGTTTTTTCGAAGGGGGGTGGAATTGATATGAAGCAGAATCTGGACTTGGAAGAAGAGGGGCAGAAGCCCCCCGGATTTACTGAAGGCGGGGACGGGCTTGAGCCCACCTTCGTAGGCTGGTTGCGGGCTGCTTAATTAATATTTATTCTTTTAAATTTTCCTGATTTGTTTCCTATTTGGAGTTAATTAGGATTTCTAATATTTGTTTTCTATTAGGAGTTAATTAGGATTTCTATTATTTGTTTCCTATTTGAAGTTGATTAGGATCTTTATTATTCTCTTTCCTAGTTGGAGTTGATTAGGATTTCTAGGATTTTGTTTCCTAGTTTGAGAATTAGTAGATGGGTATTTAAACCCCTTGTTAGGATTCATTCTTGCTCATCTTGGAATAAAATTGGTTTACCCCGTTGATTTTTATTTTTCTGTTCTCAACAATACTATGCAGTTTTGTGAAACTAGATTGAGATTTCCACCATTCATGTATATCATGGCCACACCGGTCCACAAATCTGGTAACCGAACACAATGTCATATGTGCTTATATGCTGTTGCTATCAATACAAAAAGAAAGGTAAGCCAAAAATAAGCAAAACGCATAGACTAATCACGAAAATCGTGAAGGCAATTGAAAATCAAGGATTTGAGGATCTTTAGTTATTTGAGCTAATGAGCTATTACCAGCAGATCGGATTTTGATATCTTTTAAATTAATAATTTTCCCTTAATACTTTCTTTGTTTATTTTTCCACGCTTTCTAAATCCTATTCAAGACATGTTGAGAGACGGAATAGTATGCAAGTTTGAAGCAAACCAAGTCCCAAGAGTTTGTGGAATTCTCAATAAAAAATCCTACTTCTATTGCTATAAAAAAAATTCTACACCGCCAGTTCTTCCCAATGTTACCCGTTCTCGAAAACAGAAACAATAGCCAAAACCATCCAAATCCTAGATTCCTAGTCTTCCCTTCCATTCAACCAAAGGCCCAGCTTAGTCTTCCCAATGCAAACCGCTGTTATCATGTCGGGCCGGGCATAGGGGAGGGTGTAACTTCAACATTAAGGCCAACTCTTACCATCCAGTATAGTTTTAAAGAAGACTGGCATTAACAGGCCAAATTTTGACCGGGCTTTGATCCAGACTGGACCACCTGGACTTTCTAGGCCCAGGTTTCTAACACCCTCATATTTCATATACCATCGAACATGATTCCTACTGGGGTAAACCATCATTTCTGTTTGTACTCCCTCCGCCCCGTAATTAAGTTCCACCTCCCCTATTTGGGATGTCCCAAAACTAAGTTCCTACTTTAGTTCACTTCAATTTTTGGTAAGTTATTGGTGTAAAACTACCTATTTTCCCTCCTAATCGGCGAACGATTATTCCGGCAAAGGCGGGCTTATGGATGGCAGCAGCGACAATGAGCTCGGGGATGGCCACGGTGGCTCTGCATCTTCGAAATTTCAGCAATTTTCTATCCATGTTCTTAGATTTCCAGAGCAGGTGATGATATTGGTGTCTCCTTTTTATTTTGCAATGATTCCTTATTTTGCCGCAAGGTGATCTCGGGATGCTACAGTAGCTGCTCTTGTGCTATTCTAACCCCTTTAATCTAGCAAGGATATAATTGGAAAGCCAACCTAATTAATTTTCTTACCTAAAACCCGTGAAGTCAAACCAGAAAATCAGACATACCAGAAAAGACCCTTGAGGATTGAGATAATCAGACAAAAGGTAGGAGTAGCACCTATAGAAGATAAGATGCAGGAGTCTCGTTTGCGGTGGTTTGGGCATGTGCGTAGAAGACCGAGTGATGCATCTGTTAGACGACTTGAGGGGTGGGGAGAAGAGACAGAGAGGATAGGGAGGGGAAGACCTAAACAGACTTGGACTAGAGGAATCAAAACTTCTTGGGTTGGATGATAGTATGGTTTTGGAGAGAGCAAAGTGGAGGGCATACATTCGTGTGGACGATTGATCTCTTTTCTATCTTTCTCTCTTTTTCTTTTGTCGGTTATCTTTATCTTTTTATGTTCTTATGTTATTTTTATCTTCTAGTTTTTTTATGCTCCTTTATCTTTTTATCTTTTTTCTTTCTTATACTCCCTCCGTCCCAAAATTAACTTCTCATTCACTATTCACATGGTCAACTTAAATTACCCTTCATCTTTTGCTTTATATATCAAATTTTTATCAAATTTACATTTTTTATCAGGCTTTGTAGCAGTTTTAATGTAGTTTCTGAATATATAAATTTTATTTACTAGAAATAATCTGAGCAGGGATCAAGTTGCTTTATCGTCAATCAAGCATCGTAATCCGAAATGGGAAGTTGTTTCAGGGACGGAGGTAGTATTTTATATTATTGTTATCTTATACTCCGTATTTATTTATCTTTATCTTATCCGTTTTTTCTTACTTTTTTTCTGTTTCTTCTTCTTCTTCTTGCCTGTCTTCTCTTTTTGGCATAGATATCATGGATCGATTCATGTTAGCCGACCCCAAAATCTTTTGGGATTAAGGCTTGGATGTTATTGTTGTTGTACCTAAAACCCGTGAAGTCAAACCAGGAACTTTACTCCGAGACAGAGGGAGTCATATATGAGTTGAACTTGTAAAATCTTTGAAGTTGCAGAACAATGTTGATTAATGCACATGTATATATTCATTATAAGAAAAAAGAAATGATAACAAAAAGTGTTAAGAGACTTAATTTTAAAGCGAAGTCAATGTGAATAGTTAACATTAGCTCAAGAAATTAAAATCATTACCTTTTCATAAAAGGGTCATTTTTTTCTCAAATGCAATTGTTGCAGTGACCAGCTATCTCATGTACAAATTTAAGCCCCTCTTCCCCATTTCGGAGTGAGTTGATGGAATGCTGAATTATGTTATACTCTTCCTCTAGCTGTTTTAATCTCTCAGTCATAGTAGACAGCTTGTTGCTTAGTTTATCCAAGTCAATACTTTCAGCTGAGTGACTGGGTTTGTTTTCACCCCCTGTTTTGCTTTCATCATATTCAGCTTCACGGAGTGGCAATGCAGATAATTCTTGAGAAGAAGGCATTGCTTTTTCTTTCATTGCATAGAGTTGGAAACGAGTACCTTCTATTTCACTATTTTCTTGAAAATCCTCCTTCTGCTCAATTGCTGTGTAATTATTACTCACTTTAACCCATTCCTTTGCTGAAATATCATAGTTAACCCTATCTGTAGAGGCCATGATAGAGAATAGACGAAGCTTCTCTTCCGATTTCTCTAAACATCTCTTGATGTAAAGTTTTTCATTTTCAAAATCAAGAGTTAAACTCAACTCCCTAAGACTACTTGAATCACAACTAGCCTCAACGTCCTTCAAGAGAGTAATATCACCATATTTCTTTTTGTATACGCCAAGCTCGACTTCTAAGTCTTGTATCGTTTTCTCCATCTCCGCAATACTTTCATTTGCTTTTTGAAGTGCTTCGTTGTCAAAGTCTGCTTGGTCCTCCATCATTCTCAAGCATTGTAAGGCTTCCATCTGAAGCGCTGCTTTTTCTTCTTGCAGTCTAGTAATCATTGCCATTGCTTGATTTGCAGCAACTGCAGAAGCACTTCTCTCCTCTTCTAATTCTTTGTACAATCCGCTCATGAATATCCTATCATGCTCCACCTGTCGTTTCAACCTATCAACCATGCTTTCTCCTTCGATTTCACTCACCATGCTTCCTTCAAGCGAGATATTAGACTCGTTTCTCTCAAGTTGAGACGGTTTAGTGATGGTATCATTTGATGATGATGAATCAATCCCCCGTGATGAAGAAAACTGGGATAGCAGAAGCTTCAAGTCTTCACTGTTTTGTGTTGAACCCTTCAAAGACAACTGCTTCAAAAACTTTCCTGAGAGTTGCCTAACAGCCATGACCCTGCTGCTAGTAGCCAGCTTATAAGCATCGCCTAAATCTAAAGATGGTGCTGCCCTATGTGTACTAGTAGTAGTATGAGCTGTATCTGGCTTAGAATCCAACAAGGGTTCACTTGACATGAAGCAGTCACTATCCATCTTAGGCGGCATTTCCTTGTTCAACTTACCTGTCATTGTTGCATCAGCTGTCACAAAAGCGAAAAATTAGGTGAGATACTGAGATAAAACATCTGAATACCTAAGGATCTTAGGGTCCACTTTGATGGAGTGGTACTCGAGGGCTTAGTTCATATCTTGATATATATTTGGGGTTTTATTAAAATTGAAATATTAACATAACATGTGGTCGTACATCATTTTAATTACCTTGAACCATCTAGTTATCCAGATATAGACTAAGAATGCCAAAGTATTGTCCTCCCGACACTTCCATCCAAGCAAACCCTCAGTTTATTGAATAATTGGTATTTGTAGTTATATAAATTGATTCATTTACACAAACTTAGTAATATTGGTAGTTATGTCATTAAAATCGCTATTAATTTACTACGGAGTATTATAGTAATATAAAACAAGTGGTTTACACATAATTAACCTAATTTTGAAGAAAGTAGATATTAATGTCTAAAATTGTGCACCAAGTTGCAGTGATAGAATTTCCATCCTTGCAAAAAAAAAATGAAAGTTCGCTGTTAGGGGTATTATTTTAGTGTATTTGCTGAATAGTGCACAAGAAGATCCACGGAGAAGAAGAAAATTAGCTAGCAAGCACTAAGATAAAGAAAGCAAAGATGATCTTACAAGGTTCTCCCTGCATATTATGACGAGTAGTGACGGCAAATGGCAATGGAAGGTCCTCATAGAAAGATATAAGTTCACCATGCTCAGCTTGCCTCGAGTTGATTTCAATTGAACCACTGTCAACATCTTCAGCTGATACTTCATTGGAAGCGGAACCTCTGACGCCTTCCAACTGTACTTCTGAACCTAAAAATGGCACTGAAGATTGATGGATCAATTTCTCAGGTGACAACTCCTCCGAAATAGTAATACTATGACGTTCAGGAAGAATACATGAATCGATCAAATCTTGTTTGGAATTATCCCCTTCAGGAATTGGGAAAAAAAGATCAGCTCAATCATCATCTAATGAAATTGCAGCATTTGAATTAGTGTTACCTATACCTTTTTCACCATCCGCATTCTTCACAGGTAAAGGTGAATCGAGCCCATCAGCTGCCTGGGGCCTGACATATTTAATTGGAAGCAGCTTTTGGGCAAAACCTTTAGAAACAGACAGCTCCTCCGGGCAAAGGCTTTCGCTCAAAAGAGTCTGGTCAACAAGAAGGTGACTTTCTGCACATATTCCCCCCACCAGCAATTTATGCGCCTGGGTGTCTGATTTATTTACTGTTTCAGATGAGGAGGGGCAGCTGTCATACCTTATATGAGCATCAACAGCGTTATTGTGAAGACCGCAAAGAACCAAGGAAGAGATCATCGACTTATGGTTGCAGCAGATCAAATCCCAGTAAAACCATGATCTTTGCTTGCCCAGAACATGATCCAGCCTCGAGCAGAACAAACACGGGGTTTGCAACTGACAATATTGGGCAAACCTGGTGATCAAATAACCAAAAGCACCATCTATAAATAACATAAAGATGAGCATCCACTCTGAAAATGCTGATGACAACGCTGTTATCATACTGGTGGCCGCGCGGACACACCAAACCTGGGGAGAAATCGCACAGGCCTCGAGGTGTTGGAAACGGGGGGAGGGAGAGAGAGAAAGAGTTTTCCGCGGGACAGCAGACGGAGTTGGGTGGTTTGGAACAAGCCCCGGCCGGCCGGTAGGTGAATCCGGTGGCCGCAATGGTGAACTGCTTGCAGCCAGTTGATGAGTTTTTTGTGGATTGATTCGGCAGTGGGATATCAGATAATTCAGATCTGTGGGGCTTTGGGTTGTTATCTGGTGGGGGTTAGCAGATATATTCTCAGGTTCTAAACCCCGGATTAAGTCGGTAGATTTGACGAGCGAATTTGTTCCCGGGTTACATAAATTTGTTTGGTAATTTACATATTTGCTTTGGGTGATTAGTAGATAAAAAGACAAAAAAAAGACATTAGTACATTTTAATATTCAGTTCTTTGTTATTTAATACTCACTCTAATGTTATAACTTATAAGTATCTCTACAATTTATATAAGGATGAATATTGTTAGGGACATAATGGTCTTAAGAAAAATGCTCGTGTCTATCTATGCATTGGCCGATTGCACTTCATGTATATTTACTCCAAGCTTGTAGCCATTATGCCAGGGTAAAAAATGAAGGAGGTCTTGCCGTAAGACCCCAACATCTCTTGTGCGACTTGTCACATTTGGATTGAAAAATTGGTGTTTCCACTTCAAATGATACGTCTTTCTGAAAATTTACTGCGGCCCGCCCTGCCTCGCCCTATCATATATTCCTGAAATCCCAATTCCCAAATCGTCGTTTATCTTTCTCATCCTCCGGAGGCTAGAGTCAAGACCACCGTGATTGGTGACTCTGCCGGTGTGCTAAAAAAGAGTTGTCTTTCCTTCTGTGAGTCAGATTCTCACGAAGGCCACAGCCAAGCTCCATTGCTCCTGCTCCAGACGGCTAGACCTCCACGCCCCAATGGGTTTTTCCGCTTCTGTCTTTCCTCCAGGTTGTTTTTTATTTATTTTTCAATTGGGTTTTTGTTTGTATCAATTGTAACAAAATAAATCAAAATTAAAGTTTAATTTAGTTTTAAACCCACTGTTGTTGCACTAAACAAAAAGAACTGTGGATGCCCATAAACTAAAAGAATGCTATAGTAAACAAAAAACACTGAGAAGGCCAGAAAAATAAAAAATAAAAAATTGAAATGCTCTGGATTCCGATGACCAATGGCGACTAGCGAGACAATGGAGATCAGCGAGACGATGACAACAAGTGAGATAATGGTGACAAGATTAGATTATGGAGATCTCGTTTTGCTTGAGATAGGTCAATTGTTTTTTTAGTTTTAGTGGATTGTTATATTATAGGGTCTGGGCGTGTTGAGATCATAGTTGTTGTGATATACTTGTATGTTATTTTAAAATCACACAAAGGATATTTGCAAAATCTAATCCATTAAGTTATTATTAACTGTTAAGAAAAATTGTTTTTCCATGTCCACTTCTTTTTTTATATTCATGCCACTTTGTTTGTCTAATTGGAAAGAATGGGTATTTCATAATATTTGACAACGTTTAGTAGTTTGGTTTGGGGAGTTAGAGGGAAATGCTAAGAAAACTAAGAAGCTATACGAGGGCTGTAAGAGAATTGGTTGGTATGTTTGTGTGATAAGGTCGATGGGTGTATTGGTACGGGGGGCAGGGCAGAATAAAAAAATGGTGTTAGCAGTGAATTGCTTGGGTGTGGCCGTGTGAGGATCTAGGGAAGAGAAGTGTAATTTTACTTATTTTAATGTTTGTGTTCCATTATCTAACTTGACTTCTAGTCTAGATGATATAATAGTATGCAAAAAGAGTAAGCTTGGAGAATGGATTATATGCTTTAAGGTTTTAGTTACTGTTGTGATAAAAAGTCAAAGACAACTTCTCTGTTCAAGCAGTTGAATCTACTTGTGGGTAATGAATGTTTTATTCACATAGCTAAAGAATTTAGGGGTGGGGAAAAATACCGAAATTTCGGTATACCGGACTTACCATATCGAAAAATACCGAATTTACCGAAGTGTTTGGTATACCGACACTTTTGGTACGGTATGATACCGTACCGAATTACTTTGGTATGGTATCGGTATATATTTTGGAAATAAATGGTATACCGTTATACCGTCATACCGTAATTCCAAGCCAATAATTTCTTTAAAATTATAAAAATAACTAGAAAACACAACATTAATTCAAGGATAATGACTTTATATCCATGTTTCTTGAATTATTTATACTTTTTGTTGGAGATCGATGTTATTTCAAATGTATTTATGTTGTTTAAATTATTATTTTAGCAGAATGTGTTGTTATCTTCATATATCATGGGTTGAAGTATCCGTACATATTTATAATATTTTTTTGTTCAAAGTTGAATAGAACACAAATAGGTTATCATTGGTATTTTATAATTAATTTCATTAATAATTTTAGTATATCACTATTAACACTGATTTTCTATATTTCATTTGATATATAATAATTTTATATTAAATCGTGATAATTTACCGATATCGTAGCTTACCATACCGAAATTTTGGTATACCGAAACAAGGTATACCGAAATTTAGGTATGGTAACGGTATGTATTTTTGCATACCGAAAGTTTACGGTATGGTAAAGGTATGAGATAAAATCTTCGGTATACCGTACCGAACCACCCCTACTAAAGATGATAAATATGAAGTTGCAACTTTGTTTTCATCTTACACAAATTGTGCTTCGAACTAAGGTTAATGGTATACTTAGCTATTTGTTAGATTACAATCAAACAGCTCAATAAACTTAAGGAAATAAGACATGATTATCTCCAATATTTAGCTTGCGTCGATTAAGAAAGGGAAAAGGGGCAAATAAGCTCTCGAACTAATCAAAAAAGTGCAAATCACTCCGTCGCCATTTGGGGCTGTTCCCGATGGAATTTGTTGATGCAATTTTTTGAGCATCTTCATCATTAAGGCTTGTTTACCCATACCAAATTTTAGCTAAAAATAAAATTGGGAATATACTCAAATGATTTTCTGAAATATAGTGTTGTTTAACTGCGGAATTATCTTCGAAAATTCATTTGACTGCCTTCCAGATTGAATTTTTATCTGAAATTTGGTATGGGTAAACTAGACTTAATGAATAAGATTCTAAAAAAAATTATCAAAAAAATCTACCAGGAACCTCCCCAAATGACGACGGTCGGACAGTGCCTCCTATATAAGGGGTGATTTGCACCTTTTTGGTTAGTTCGAGGGCTTATTTGCACCTTTTCCCGTTAAGAAATGAATTGGATGCTTTTACATTTACCTTGATGGGTAATTAGGTATATATATTGTGTTAGATTATTTAACAACGAGTGTGTTGGTAGAGCAGCTTATTGTGAAAAAATGATTTATTCGATTTTACATGTTTCACCTATTTCCCATTAAAAGAAAAGTGGTGTCATTGGTTTAAGTGAATGCCTCACTTATGCTTGCATACAACTTGAGTTTCCTTGCTTTCATTAAGAAAAACCCTGCTTTGGAAAATACGAAATGTAAAGTGAAAGGAACTAGGTGGTTTATTATAGGGGAATAAAAACACATATGGTTTTTCATCCTATTGTGACTAAAAAAGGTGAAAGAGTAAGGCTACTAAAATTAATCAATGAGAATGTCACTTTCTACTGGTCACTTTGTATTACCCCTAAAAATGTTACAAGTGACAACTCCCTTCTCAAAGTTATACCATTGATTAGTTTTGATATTAATTGTTGATATGTTTATCTGCAAATCTTTATTAAGTAATCAATACCTAACCGCTCTAATATTATATACATAAAGACTCATTAACATTTTTTATTTGGGAAGGAAGTTTTTTATAAAAAAAAAAAATGTGGATGGTATTCTCTCACTCCTATAAATTGCCAGTGAAAATTGTGTGAGAATATTGGATGTAGGTATATAGTTTGGGACTTCGGGCGTTTCCCATTTGTCCCAACTCCCAAGCATGTCTCAATCCATTATTCAGAATCATGTAATACTGGTGTCATCCCTCTACGCATTTGTTAGTTCTTCATATTCTTCTCTATAAGGAGGACTGCTCAGGTCCCTCCGGAGGGACGGGAGGGACCGTCCGAACTTTACTGTTTGGGGCGGTTCCCGGTGGAATTTTTTGATGAAATTTTTTGAGCATGTTCCTCATCAAATCTAGTTTGTCCATACCAAATTTCAGCTCAAAATTCGACCGGGAAGACAGTCAAATAAATTCTTGAAACTTACTGCACTTTATATATGCGCAGAATGTGCAGTAAGCTTCAAGAATTTATTTGACTGCCTTCCCGGTCGAATTTTGAGCTGAAATTTGGTATGGACAAACTAGACTTGATGAGGAACATGCTCAAAAAATTTCATCAAAAAGTTCCACCGGGAACCGCCCCAAACAGTAAAGTTCGGACGGTCCCTCCCGTCCCTCCGGAGGGACCTGATCTTTTCTGTCTCTATAAGCATGCATCTAGATCATGTTTCCTTCTTCAACGGCCCTTAATTTCATATCTATTCTCTAAACTCTTATAGATTTTAGTGTTAAATTCTGCTTACCCCTAATTTATTGTGTTCATTCTAGGGGTCGAATGATTCAAATCAGAAACCGTTTTTAGGATTGAACTTTAAAGAGTTTGTGATGAAGAGAGTTCAATTGCAGCTTTACTTATACTTTGTCAATGAATTTTCTCATGTCAGTTTATGTAACTTCTATGTTGCCACATAGCATACAATCATATATTGGTTTGACACAATTTTTATTTAGTTTGCTTGTATAATTTCGTAATCTCAATTATATTAACCAAGAACTTTCGATATCATTTATCTTACCAAAGTAAAATCACATTGGACATTTATACTTTCGCGCAACGCGCGTTACAAAACTAGTACTAATATATGTGAGTTAAACTATAACTTTAAAATTAATTAAATAAAAATATAATAATAAATCATAAATTCACTTACACCAATGAATTCACTGCACTGATAAAATTCAAAAGTTTAGAAGAAAGAATATGGTGTAGGAATTAACTTAGTTTAGGTCCAAAGCCCAAACTAAAAAAAAGTTATCTTTGAATGCACGAAACGTACAAGTTGTAAAGGTTTTAGATGAGCTATTTTACAGTACACCCATATACCCATATAAAAATATACTCCGTATGACCGTATGTCTATACAACCTGGCAATCAATATATGTAAATGATAAAATAGTAAATGGTCTCCAGATTAGTATAAAAAAAATCCATAGTAAACCATGGCATAAAACAGCGAGAGGTTGAGGTTTGCGCAAGAATACGAAAGATTTACTCATCTACCTGGCTATAATTTTCTTATGTGGAAGAAAAATTGGGAAGCTGCGGAAGAGCAAAGGTCTACGAAATTAAAGTGAAGAATAAGAAGGGCAAGGGCGAGAATTAACTACGTATGTTGAATCCGCTAAGCCTAAACGCTCCACTTAGCGTTTTGGTTTTTGGCGTTTCGGACCAAAATGCTATATAAACCCGCCATCTGCCAAACACTTTACTTTAGCGTTTTAACCGATTT